AAGGATTCATCACTGAGTGGGTTCAGAGACATAGTCAGGCATTGCACAAGCTTTGCTGTGTTTAATCGAGGATGGGTGACTCCAGAGAACCACCCGCTCCAGGCTGATTATCTCTTCTGTTGAGCCCCAGCTGTATTTTTTTCCCTAGCTCTGTCTGAAGAGGATGCAGAGCCAATAACAGGCAGCTAAATGACATACAAATATATATTAACTTTTGTTTTTCAATTAAGAAAAGCCAACTCCCAGACAATGCTAGGGTTTTGCTGGCTCTGAGGCGCGTGCAATCACCCTAAATGGGCAAAAAAGCAAGTTGAAGCTTTCGCAGCAACAGTGGTTCAGCTTCTGGGTCTGGGTCTGCCAGACCTGGAGCCAACTGGTGGGTAATATTGGGAAGATCTCCAAGCAACTCCCCCTACCCCAGTCCCTGGATAAATGCAGTTTTTCCATTGCCTTTCATCAGCTTTCTGGTTCCACATAACTCAGTAACATTGAAAACTAGCTTGCATACCAAAACCCTGCAACACCCTTTATTAAAACAACAACAAAGTGACATCCCATCTCAACTCTTAATGCTTGGCCCCAAAATGATGCTTGCTGGCAGACAGATGGAAATATAGCAGAAATACATCTGGCTGGGACTGCTGCTCAGCCAAAATGGATGCCTGGAAGACCCTCTATGGACATGACCGTCTGTCACTGCCTGTCCAGTCTTGTGTTTGGTGGATTGTTGTTGGCCAACTGTCCCATTATGGCCATGAGACTTGGTAGGCCAACTCTTGTCTTCTGCCACTTGGGAGGGTGTGGGTCTGTCTCCTTTTGTACTGATCTTTGGCCAGCCTGATCTGTTAAGTTTTGTGTTTTCCTTTTCCCAGCAGGAACTTCAGCTGAAAAGGCTAGGAGCAAAGTTTGAGATGAGCTAGACCTGAGCTAGATCAAATGCTGGCATGGTACATCCTGACTTTGTAACGTTACTCAGTATCTTAAGATCTTAAGAAGTACAACACTGATTTCTTAAATGTATGCATGAAGCTGCTGATTGAAGGAGAAAATATGTTTGAACTGTAAAGAACAAACAGGCAACGTCTTAAGCTCTGGTGGTCAGAAGCTATATAATTCCTTTATGGAAACCCAGAGAAAGGCTTGCAAGCCTGAAAGCATGTGTGTTTTTACCAGGTCTATCAGTTGGGCTAAAAGATACCGCCTGCTTGCTAGAATGAATAAAGTGATTTATGGAAACTGGAGGAAAATGTTTTCACAATTCCCCTTTGCATGCTGGAGGGAATAAAATGAAACTTTATAAAGCTGAGAGTCTGGTCATACTCATTTGAGTCCCCTCTGTGGGGGAATAAAACCCCTTTGCTTAGGCTGGCATCCTGCTTTGCTCCTTTAATGGTTAGACCCGCTTCAGAGAGTGTTACTGGGGAAAAGGAAACTGAAAGCTGTGCTGAAAAGCTAGTAGGTGACATTGGGAGTTGCCTGATCTATTTTATCTTTTGAAAGGATAAGCCCTGAACCAAGCTATGTGAAGACTGAGTAAGATGTGGAAGCTTCATAGTCATACATACAGGAAACCTTGACTCATTTGTAAGCTTCCTGGAAAATGACGTAGTGAGAGGCTGTCGTGTTTACTAATGATGATCCCATAGCTCTGACTGATCAGCTTAAACAGCATCTTAACTACCAGCCCCTCAATCTTTGATGCAAGTGGATTCAGTTGGGTTCATCCAGAATGCTTGCTGATGAATAATAATAACAACTGATAATAATAGCTAATAGCTGAGCCCAGGGAGCTGAGCGTGGCCACCCAGACGGTCTGTTTCCTTTATTGGGGGGAAAAAGGTTTGCTTTGTGCAGTGAATATTTTTATACATTCCTGGCAGAGCCTGACAAACTTTGAAGCTCTGATAGTCCCCAAGCAATTCAAAAATGTCTCCTTTAAATAGAGCACTGTGGAAAGAGCATTGCTATGTCTTTAGGACAGAGTCTGCCTTCTTTCAGGGGGAAGAGGTAGCAAGAAGGGACAGAAAGCTCCTAGCTCTCCTCCTCCCCATTGCTGGACTTGGGCAAGGGTGTCAATTCTTGGTAGCCTGGTGCTCCCTTCCTTGCTCTGTCTGAAGTGATAGGGTGCATGTCCATCTTGAACAGCAACCCCCCCCCTTGCACCCCAGACCCATATGCACAGCTCTGGAGTAGTCCATGGAAGTCACACTAGGGAGCAGAGAAAAACCAGGCTTCAGCAGCAGTGAGAGGTTTTGTTCACCCGAGATTCCAGGCGCGGGGATTGCTGGTAGCTGGCCAAGGAGCTTGGATGACAGCCTACCTGTTCCTCAGCTCGCTCAGCTTGTTCTCTCCCCCCTGCCTTTCCTTCTTTAATTGCATAATATGTTAGAAAATGATCTGGATTTGGGACTTATTTTAGACCAGAAGAGGCTCACTTCACCCAGTCTCATTTTGGATTGAACAGCCAGCAAATGCTTTCTGAAGCCCTTTTTTTTCTGCATTGAGACCCTGACTTATTTTGCCCCTTTCTCCTGCTTCTCAAGGGCTCTTTGCTTTTAATATGTTTGTCACCCATTCCTGGGGAGGTTTGCAAGTCCTTAGCTGCTTTGCCTGTCTGCAGAACCAGTCTGTAATGATTGAGTTGGTGTTATGCCTGCCTGGTGCAGATCGGTTTAGAGGAATTGGGACTTGTACTCAAATAAGGAAGGCAAATTTTGTCTCCTGAATGATAGCTAGGCAATAACTAGGTAATAAAGCTCATACGAGAGGAGTCAGATTTGGGGTTAAAAATCTATTTGGCTGTTGCAACTTCTCTCTGGGTATCTGGGGCTGGAAAGCAACTTCCATTTTATTTCCTTCTTCAAAACGAGACAGAAATCTTCGTGCTATTGTGTTAGCGTTTTGTTAAATGGAGGGAGAGATGCAGGGATGAACAGGGAGCTGTCTGGAATGCCAGTGAAAGGGCAGCTGGGTTAACGTTCCAGCTCCTCACTGCTCTATCTGGGAAAATAAGGAAAGCTGAATGTTTGCCCTAAGACATGGAAGCAGGCGGAGCCAGGGTGCTGCCCTGCAATCCTACCCCTGTCTGTGCAGGACTTTTCCTTGGCTGATCTGATGTAGCCTATGGGATGGGCAAGTGAAGTGTGGTAACGGCCTCTGCTCCTTCTAGTTTGATTTAGATGCAATAAAACAGCTTCATTGGGAAACTGGCCCATGAAGATGGGGGGGGGGGGGGAGAGTTGGAGGCAACTTGCCATCTCACCAGCACTGAAGGAAGTCCCTGTCCCAAGGCCTGTGCTGTTTCACCTATGTGATTGCGGCTATTTCACCAAACCAAACCATGGCTACTTACTGGAGATGGGTGGTGGTGTGGGGCAGAGGGCTTCTGTCCCTAACACCTTCCTTTTCAGGTGTAGAATGTTAGGTTGTGCCTCTGTCACGGCGCAGCAATTGCTGCATTCATCGGTGTTTGGGGGGATCTTCATGTCACAAAAATAACGGTGACAAAATGAGGCTGCTGTGTAGAGGAGCGTTTCCAGGCGCCCGGAAGCATCCTGGAAGAGACGGCACCAGGGATTGAACTGCCCTACTTACTCTTAGCTCAGCAATTATTTATGATACGGGGGCAAGTTTGGTAAAATTCCCATTGTTTCCCTCTTCAAAATCTGCCATCTGAGCAGGAGAAAAGCGCACACATTTATGCTGATTTTTGTTCCTTAAAAAGCCCTCCACCATTCTTTTGTTCTCAAATGAAACCTGACATGGATGTAGCCCTGAGTGAGAAACACTTTGATGGGGGGAAGGAAAGACAAATGGTGCATCCAGAGTGATGCTTCCTTGCTCTGGTGCAAAAGCTATTTTGTCTGTGGCTAGCAAGCTCCCGAGAGTCTTGCCAGAGGAAGCAAAGGCTGCTGGCATTGCCTTAGCCAGGCAGAAGCTGAGGTTTTCAAACACCATCATGTGAAAACGCTTCCCATACCCAGAAGAGCAGGGGGTGAGAACACAGCCCTCTGTCAGAGCTGCCATTGCTTCATGTGCAAGTGAGGATGCAGCGGCATCACCCTAGTGCAAGGGGCCGGCAGGTCCACACTCCCATATGGATTCACAATGTGGGACCAGGGGTGCTCCTGGAGTCTGGTCCAGGGGGATGCTCAGAGCTTCAGGAGATGCCAAAATCGTTTGAAGCTTTCTGAGGCAGATGCACCTGTCCTCAAACTGGTACCCAGGCACTGTCAGGATTGAAGGCCCTGGTTGCAGCAGGAGAGAGTAGTGTGGAGAATGGTCTTGGGGATTAAGACTGAAAAACCTGATGGATCATCATCTTCATCTGTAATTTATCTGATTCTGAGTGTACCAACTGCATTTTCTGCTTTAGTAGTTAAGTCCTTAGGCAATCAGTTAAATAATCCCACAAGGTCTCATAGGCATATAGCTTGGTGTGCTGAAAGGTTCAATCTCCTGACTTCACCGGAGAGGTTTCTCTCAGTATATGATTGCTTGAGCCTTGCTCTCCTTCGCCCTGTCAACATGCTCTTGAATGACAAGGGAAATGCATTGCAAGAACTTTGGTCTATTAGGTTTGTGTTCCTAAGCATAGTACTGCATCAGTCAGGAAATCTAAAGGAATGTTCTATATACCATCTGTAGCTTGTGCACCAGTGTGCAGATACTTGGGGATCATACGTTTAACATATTCGAGAGGGAAATTTGCTGCCAAGAGTGCAAGGGTTTGAGTTTTATAGATGCTGTTTGAGTTCCTGCTTGTAATTTACCAGTGTAGCGGTGCTGAAACGTGGTGGACCAGAGCACTGTGTTAAGGTGTCCGCTGTGCTTATGTGGACTGATTTCCACTTGTTAGGGGTAAGTAAGGCAGAGACAGAGTGGTCAATCTGTCCATACTGCTTGTGCAAGGGAGTAGTTGGATTGGGATAGTGACTTGGGCAGGAAGAACAGGCTTCAGGCTTTGCTGGCTTCATCAGTCTTTACTCTTTTCCTTTCAGATATATGTTGGGGAAAGGAGGAAAGCGGAAGTTTGACGAGCATGAAGATGGGTTGGAAGGCAAAGTGGTGTCTCCTACTGACGGTCCCTCTAAGGTGTCTTACACCTTACAGCGTCAGACTATCTTCAACATTTCCCTTATGAAACTTTATAACCACAGGCCATTAACTGAGCCAAGCTTGCAAAAGACAGTTTTAATTAACAACATGTTGAGGCGAATCCAGGAAGAACTCAAACAAGAAGGCAGCTTAAGGCCCGTGTTCGTGACCGCTTCGCAGCCTGCCGACCCTCTCAGCGACAACTTCCGTGAGGCGCAGCCGGCGTTCAGCCACCTCGCCTCCCAGCCCCTTCTCCCCACTGACTTCGTAAGCACTATGCCCCTGGAGTCCTGCCTCACCCCAGCCTCTTTGCTCGAGGACGACACGTTTTGCACTTCCCCGACTGTCCAGCCCGATGGTCCCACAAAACCACCACCTCCTGCTCTCCAACCAGTAAAGGACAGCTTCTCCTCAGCCTTGGACGAAATCGAGGAGCTTTGTCCAGCACCTACCTCCGCAGAGGCAGTAGCAGCCCAAACAGCAGCCGATGACTCTAAAGACCACCCCAGTGAGTCCAGTGTCCAAAAGCCAGAGGGCCTCCCGGAGAGCAGAACGGCTGAATCCAAACTCATGGACTCCCTTCCTGGCAACTTTGAGATAACAGCTTCCACAGGGTTCCTCACGGACTTGACCCTGGATGATATCCTGTTCGCTGACATTGATACGTCCATGTATGATTTTGACCCCTGCACATCTGCCACGGGGGCTGCCTCAAAAATGGCTCCTGTCTCAGCAGATGAGCTCCTAAAAACACTCGCTCCGTACAGCAGTCAACCAGTAACTCCAAATCAGCCTTTCAAAATGGACCTCACGGAACTGGATCACATCATGGAGGTGCTCGTTGGGTCTTAAAGCATAGAAATATAGCAAATTTTTTTTTTTGTTGTTGTTTTAATTATTTTAAGTACCAATATATACACTCGGTAGTATTTCCATAGTCCCACCCCCAATTCACAGCACTGTGCATGCGTCCTTGCTTGCCTTTTTGGAAGAGAAAAGGATCACACTAGTTTTTGCTTCAAGCAGAGTTGGAGTGCCTTCATCCATGTCTGACCACTTCTAATGTATTTTTGTTAAAGTGGTTCCTCAAGGAAGACCGAATATCCTGGGATAGGGAAGAATATCTATTGTAGACAATGGTATGTTACTACAAAAAAAAAAGATAAAAAAATGGGAAAAAAACTATGTCAAAGCTAAGCACAAGGATTATGTTGGGGAAAGCTGTAAATTGCATGTGCATATTTGTCTATTTTTTCTATAAGTTTTATTGCAAGAGGTAAAGAAAATTTTATTATTTAGATAATCTCAATACCATTTTAGCCCTGTCTAGGTTGACTTAGCAATTCAGCCTTTTGGAGGCATTAACCTGCTCCTCTTTAAGTGTTGCATTTACATGGCTGTTTAGAAACTGCTGCCCAAATTTATTTTATATTTTTGTACAGATTCTGCAGTTTATGATATTGTTTTTTCTAAAAAACAAATGCTGTTTATACACACAAAAAAAATAGCTATTTTGATAGGATTTGCTCACATAGTTCCTGCATAATTCAGATGTACAAGAACCACTTGTACTTTTATACAGAGTTGTAATGTTTTATATGTGTATGGTGCAAAGAGAAAATTGGATCAAATAAGCCTGCAGTCGGTTTCCCTGAATGCAAACAAACAAAAAAGTGCTTTAAGAAAGGGCTGGGAGCTGCTTCTGTCGGAGTTTCACAAGTGTTTGCTCCCTGCTGTACCCACTGCGCACTACTGTGATTCCTGAAACTCAGAGCCATGTCCTTTTCCAACACATATGTGAAGCAGTTGGCAGGAAACAGTTGTGGAACTTCACCCGGAGAGGTCCTGAGCGCCACCACCGCGGCTCCAGCCTCCCCGCTTCGGTGTCCCCTTGCCGGGGCATCCAGTCCATCCCGCGTGACGTGGAGCGCCTTAACACAGCGGCGGATCAGCACTTCCTCACCCGAAGGTGTGGATGGAATTCCTCACTCCTGGGAATGAATGGTTTTGAGGGGGAACGTGCCCATTGCCCACCGAGAGCCAGCTCTCAACCTTCGTGACCGACGGGCGAATGAGCGGAGCGGGCAGAAGACTGGCGTTGGCAGCATCCACTCGCCCTATCTTGGAGCATTTCTCCTTCCCTCTCCCCACCTCACTGTGCTAAGTGCTGAAAAAGGCAACTTCAGTATTACTGCAGTGAAGCTCATCTCTTAACCTGCACTGGATGGACTTGCTTCAATATCCATTGCTGTTGAAACTGGAGCCAGTCGTGTTGCATCACTTGGCATCTCGCGTAGGGTTGGTTTCTTGTATCAACTGTGTTACCTGCTTTACACTTTATAGACCTGTTTTACAACGAATATACAGACACAGCTTTCTATGCATGGTCCCGTTCCCCCTAACACCTGAGAAGTCTTCTCATTACTGCACCAATAGCATTTTTTAAGTTCATTGTGGTGTACATTTAATTTAAAGACCTACGTTTGCAATGTATCATGCCTATTGCTGAAGTTGCTATGGCATTTTAGTTTTTCAATGGTACTTTAGCTGTTGAGTGCCGGTTACAACCTGTATTGTTGACATGCCTATGGCTTCTTTAGGAATAACTTTTATATTTATTTAAGAAATTTTAAATTATGTTTTACGTCATTTGGCAATATTCAGTCCATTCTGCTCCCTTCTTGTCATGGATGAAATTGGGTCTCGCCTGCCTTGTGAGGAGGCGGCTTTTTATAAATTGGCACTTTAAACCAGGCCATATGTATTTATTAGTCTGTAGATAGATAGATGTAACTTAGATGTGCGCACAGACACAGTGAGAGAGCAAGTACGGTTTGCAATGAAGGAACTCCTAATGGAAATGCGTCATCTACAAGTACAAAACGTGCTTCTGGCTCCTAGTTCATCTGCCAGGGTGAGATGTGGGGCTGTGGGAAATAACTAAGGGGGTGGGTTTGCTTTCTTCTTTTTCCCAAGCTGAACTCAGTGGAGCAATGGATTTGAAGTAGTTTCCTTACATAGACTTAAAAAAGAAAGTAAGCTATTGTTTCAGCCAGAAAACCATTGACCAAGTGTAGCTTTAGGGACCATCAGAAATGCGGGGTGGGAGGTGGGGGGGGCGGTTCCATCTCACACACCGCAGCCCCTGTAGGAAAACAAATGGCCCTGTTGGATTCTGCACCTCCTGGAGCTGGAGTAACTGGGAAAACATGGGCAGTGCTGTCAGTGCTACCACGTTTCCCATGGTAACTTGGTAAGTGCTTGCCTTACCATGGTTAAAAACTGATCTGCAGTGTGCTGGAGCTGCCTGGTGGTTTTGGGATTCCTTATGCATTTAAACAAATATCATATGCCAGGCAAAAGTTGACATCAGTCCCATTTTGGAGAGCTGTGCTGTCAAGTGGGGTTAGTTGGTTTTTGTATCCAGAGGACAGGAGCCAATCTCTGAATCCTCTCTTCCACACAGAAGATAATGTCTGTGTATCCTTGGTGCTGAAGCACATGTCCTGTAGCAGAATTCTTAGGGGAATCCCATAGGATATAAGCTATGGGACTGGGCAAGAGGTTAGCAAGGTAGTGCATGCTACAGCGGGAAAGGCTCAGCTGTGGTTTTGTCCCCATGCAGTCACTTACTGTCTCTAGTGTGGCCTTTGCCATGGTCCTAACAGCAGAACAGCAGCCACGTGTGGAGTTTCTCCACAGCAGGGATGGACATTGACATTAATGTGCAATGAAGTGACAAGATGGGAGCAGAATAAAAGAGCTTTGGATTTGAAGTGATTTTTTTTCATAAATTATTTATTCCTTTTTTTTTTCCTTCTGTAAATATATTTATTTTATTGTGAAGCTAACAACATCTGGATTGTAACATGTACAGAATGTATGGTAGGAATGTATCCTCTTGTAGGAATGTAAATCTCTATGGAAGAGGGTGTGGGAGCCAGATTCAGAGAACATGAATTGAGTTCCAGTCAGGTTGCGTATGGTTCAATGCTAGTATTTTTGTAACTCCCCCCACTCTTTCTAATATGGGTCTGGTTGTTTGAAATATGCAAAAAAAAAGGTATGGATGAGGGACAGTTTTAGGTTCAAAATTCATCCTAATCAGGCTCCTACCCTGTCCACGCTGGCGGTGTCCACAAGCAGGAGGCAGGAGCTAACGCATCATCCCCGTCGTGCTGGCCTGGCTGATGTTTGACAAAGGGGAATCTCTTTCTGTCACTCACGGGAAGCCCAGCTGAAGTCCCCGGGGCTGGAGAACATCACAGGATGGCCCCTTTCAGCCCTGGAAGGGGTGACAGAGCCGCGACCACCTCATTGCCAGAAGGCGAGGCCAGGCACGAAGCCAGGACCGCGCTGTGCACGTGCGGCAGAGGGTTCAAGCGACCTGCGCTGCCCCGTGAGTCCGACCAGCCCGTCCTTGGACACCGCAAGACCACGCAGCCCCGTATGCAAAGGAAGGGGAACGTCCCTCTTCAAGAGACCGTCTTTGAGCAGCGTCATAGAGAACTGCACCCACCAGTGGCGCCTTCCTTGCGGGCAGCGGGGAAAGCATCGCGGTAAAGCCGCCGTCTGAAGCAATCACTGCGAGAGTAAATCTGGACCTTGTGAAAGGTAATTTGGTTTTTCCTCGGTGCTGCGTGGCGACAGCCTGGGTTGTTTTAAACCAGTGTTTGAACCCCGAAGTTTGTGCTTTTATCACCATTAAATTGAGTAAATCGCGATGGGTCCTGTCTGACAAACGGTTTAATTCACTCCAGCACATTGTGAGCTTCTTGTTCTTGTTACAGGGTTTCTTTCGGTTTGGTTTTGGTTTGGTTTTCTCCCCCCATCAGGTTTCAGGATCCTGCTTCTGTGCAAGTTGCTTTCAGTGCTTCTGTTAATGAATGAGACTGAACAGTTTTCAAGAAATTAGTTCCTTTTAAGCACTTTTTCTTTTCTTTATTATTTCTTTCCCCCCTGAAAACTAAGCAAGTTCTGGAGCCTCTTGAGACACACCAATTGCAGATAAAATCCCAACCTCAACTCCTATCTAGTTCGGAGCGTTACCTGTACGAGCGCCTGGAAGGGCCAGGATTCTGGATAAAGTGTAAATAGTGTGACATGTTCAGTGCATGGATTTTTGAACAGGGCTTGTTATTGTCAAAAAAAGAGAAAAATATATAAAAAAAAAAGAAAAAAGGCTGTATTTCCCCTTCCCCTCCCACAGACCTTAGAGCTGTGCCTTTTCTATGCAATATTACAGACATATACATCTGAAACCAGATTACTGTATTCACATGTAGGTATGGGCTGTAATCAAAAAAAAACAATTGGACAAATGTACATGGAAATGAGCAGTCTTACTTTTGTAGTTTTATATTATACAATAAACAATTAAAATAAACTCTGGCTTTGATTTGTTCCGCAAACAAAAGGGGATGGAAAGGGGGAGACAGAGCCCATGGGCCTCATCCACCACGGGGTGTCTGTGGGAGTTGGCAGGGTAATCCCAGATTGGTTTGTGTGGGAAGGAACCTTAAATCTCATCCAGTTCCAAGCCCCCACCACAGGCAGGGACACCTTCCACTAGAGCAGGTTGCTTCAAGCCCCGTCCAACCTGGCCTTGAACACTGCCAGGGATGGGGCAGCCACAGCTTCTCTGGGCACCCTGTGCCAGGGCCTCAGCACCCTCACAGTAAAGAGCTTCTGCCTCATGTCTGATGTAGATCTCCCCTCTGTCAGTTCAGAGCCATTCCCCCTTCTCCTATTGCCTGTAAAGAGTCAGGAGCACACAAGGGATGGACAGCCTGCTCTCTGTCACCCCCTCCCTCACCTTATACAACAGGTCACCTTGTGTGAGGCCTGTTCCTCACATTGAGGTGCCCTCAGTGACCATGTCCTGCCACCCTTCATGGATAATGTGTGCCAAGGGTGCTCAGCCCTGATGCAGTACAATCTGCGGCTCTGATTGTGTGTTACTAGGGTGCTGCTTAGTTAGCTGAGAGCAGAACCTATCCACTTCTAATACATATAATGCACTAGGCCTTTAGGGCATTAAATCCCAGCAGGAAACATCTGATACCTTAATCCATTGCTTCATTTATCAGTGCCCTATTATTTCCCCTTTATCCCCCTCCCAGGTGACTGCTGTTTGCTTTCAGGGCCAGTCAGGAGGGAGATCTCACCCCATCTTTGGCTCCAGCCTTTTGTGGCCATAGCTCATAGAATGGTTAAGGTTGGAAAGGACCTTAAGATATCTAGGTCAGTGTGTGCAGGCCACCAGTGCCCTCTGGACAGTGAGTCTCCTATCCTCACCCACTTCTGCCCTCCTACACCCACAGAGACAAAACTGCTCCAGTTTGCGTTTACAGCGACCCAAAAGCAGCAGTTTCCCCATCCCGACGTGCCGCACATCCCAGTGCAATGCCAGGGAACCGGCCTGTGTTGCAGGGAGCTGGCACAGGAGGCAGCACCACAGCACGGGGCCCTGAGCATCAACTGCTGCTCGGGGACCAATGGCTGCGGGGACACCAGAAACGCAAAGGGAGAATTAAACCACTCAGGGGTTGGATCCTGCCTGCTCAGCACGGGTGGGACGCACCCAGCACAATGGTGTGAACCCTCTCCCAGTGGCTCCGCTCCCTCCCAGGCTATGGTGAGTGCTGGCACTGTGCTGGCCAACGGTGCAGACCTTTCCCATCGTGCTGGTGCAGCACACGTGCAGGTGCTGCTGTTGTGCTCCCAAAGCTGCTCTGATTTTGCTGCCACCTCTGAAGAGCTTCTTTCCTCACCTGGAACTTGTTAGTGAGAGATGCAAAGCCCTGCTCACCCCTTCCCTAAGTGAGTGGCTTCCCGCCTGCTCCAACCTCCAGCATTGCTTTGGGCTTTTAAAACGGGGTACCCATGCAGGGTGCTTGCTCTGGCCTGGGGGCAGCTGCCAGGCTTCTGTGCACAGCCAGCCCTTGCTCGAGCTTGCTTCCATGGGGAGCAGGACTGGGGTTCAGCACTGGTACTGGTAGGCAAGGCTCAGGTCAGGTACCTCACTGACACCACAGCAGAGTACAGCACACAGAGGTGATGGGAGCCTGGGTGTCCTCGGGGCTGAAGGAGCTCCAGGTGCCCCAGGAGCAGGATTTAAGCAGAGGAGCTGCAGTGCTGAGCTCCTTGCCAGCAGCGATGGCTCGGAGCTGGCGAAGGGCTGCATCCAGCCCCATCACCACGAGCCAGGGCAGCAACCCCACAGCAGACAATGGCCAGCACGCTCCAACCTGGGGCAAGCAATTGGAGGATTCAGGTGTTGTGGCCAGGCCACCACCAGCGTTCACAGACCCTCCCCAGGTAGGTGCCATTGTGGGTAGAAACGCACTCAAAGGCGGCACTGATGCAAGGGTGGGACAGCAAAAGGCACCTTGTCCTACCCCTGCCCATGAGGGATAACGCTTCCTGCCTCTGCACATCTGACCCGGGCCTGGGGGGGGGTAGGGGGGGTGAGTGTTCCAGCACCAGCAACCAGAGCGAGCCCAGCTCCTGGCACAGCCTCCCCGGGTCACACACATCCGCTGCCCACCAGAGAAAACACAGCAGGGAAAAGCCACTGGGGATAAACCCCCTCCGGCCACAGGCAATGCTTCCTAGCGCTGCTCTGAACCAGCGCTAACCCATCAGCTGGGGCAGGTCCATGGGGATGCCGCCTCCACGGCTGAGCTGTGCCAGGAGCCTTTGCTCCCTGATCCTCCCCGTTTTCCACTTCATCCCTTTCCTCCTGGCTCCTTCTCCTCGGCTCCCTCTGTGCCCACGGCCCCGCTTGCCTCCATCACGGGGGGCTGTGGGCTCCTCTCTGCCCCGGTCCCTTTGTGCATCACCAGCTCCCTCCTCCCGCAGCGCCTCTCCCTCCTGCAGAAGCTGCCTTAGCAGCTGGCAGCCCGCTCGTCCTCCCACCCCCTGCTCCTCCTCTGAACACTGGGATGCGCTGGGGGGGGGGCAGAGCCGTGAGCCCTGGAGTGCTGCGGGATCCCTGTGTGTGTGGCACTGGGCTGGGGTCACCCCCCAGCACCCATCCTCTGCAATGAGTGTTCCAGGTAAAGCCGGGTGCTCCGGGGGCAAGGGCTCTTCCTCACCCTCCTTCCCCCTCTCTTTCCCAGCCCAGCCCGTTCCTCCCCAGCTCCAGAGCCCCGCCGGGTGAAGGCACATCACGGGCACAGAAGGAACAGGCTTCAGATCACCCATTTCTTCAAGGATTTCCTTCCATTCTTCTGGCCCTGCCGTGCCCACCTCGCGCTGCTCTCCCCGGGGCTACTTCCTCTCCCGTTTCCTCTCCTTTTCCCCCTATTCACTGGGCTTCCTCCCCCTGTTCCTCCCCTTGCTTTCTCTCCCTTTTGTTCAGCCTACAGCCTTCGTTTCTTGCTGCCTTTGCATCTGCCTTGCTGGTGCGAGCAGGGATGCCACGGATCCTGTGCCTGCATTTGTATGTGGGAGGAAAAAGCCATGAACCCCTGGAAGTTTGCTAGGAAACAATGCTTGGTCAGGGCAACCTCACCCTTGCTTTCCCTGCGCAGCTCACACAGGAAGGGATGGATCATTCAGGCTGCTCCAAATGGAGTTTATTGTATTGCTCACAGTCCCCCGGCAGAGCTAACCCTGCCCGCTATGGGGTCTGCATCCCGTACACAGGGACAAAACCCCCTTCCCCCTGTGCCAACGTCATCTCTTATCACTGCCTTCCTCCTGCTTGCCCGGGGTTAACACCGCGGCAGCACCTGGCTTCAGTCACAGCTTCCTCCCGAGTCCTCCAGCACCATCACACCGAGCAATGCATCTCCCCGCTGCTCGATGGGGAAGCCCAACACAGCCTCAGGCTAAGCCGGGAGAAGGGCAGGAGACCCCCGGGGCAGGGTCCAGAGGGGAACCGCAGCGTTCGGGGCTGCGGGTGGCTCCGAGTCCTGCTCCGGTCGGGAGCAGCGTTCCCAGGCGGGGCCGGGCACCCGGCTCAGCCCCGGCCCGCGGCGGATACCGGTTTCCAGAGCCGCTTGTGAGCCCAGGCTCTGCCCTCACAGCTCTCGCCCCCAGCACAGGGAAGAAGCTGTTTCTGCCGCCCTGAACGGGGCTGAGGGTCCCTGAGGCTGCCCACAGCTATAGGAGACACACAAGTGAGTGCTCTGATTTCAGTGCAAGGAGCACCTATTCCCACCTGTCCTGTACAGCTCCGTTCTGAAAGCAGCAGATGACCAGCTGTAGGTGCACCAGAGCATCTTGCTTCCCTCCAGGCTATAGGCATGGACCTCCGTGAATGTGGCTGCAGGGACACAGCTTTAGGGTACACAGGGGCTGAGGGACGATGAGCAGAGCTGACAGATCTCAACTTTTGCTGGGTGGAAGCAAGAGCCGGGTCTGGTCCCCGACCGTGTCCCCCAGAGGAAACAAGTACAAATAGAAGCAGTGGTGCTGCCCCAAAACCACACAGGGGCTGGCCAGAGCAGGCCAGAGAGAACCCAAAGACTTGCTCCTGGCTGTGGAGCTTTAGTCCAAGCAGGAGCTTTGGGGGGAGATGACCAGGAGCAGTTCCAGGATTTCAGAAGCCTTTGGGGGTTACCTGTGGGATAGGTATTAGAATAATAGATATTAGCTTCTCCACAATGAGGGTGCTGAGTTGCCCAGAGAAGCTGTGGCTGCCCCATCCCTGGCAGTGTTCAAGGCCAGGTTGGACGGGGCTTGGAGCAGGTGTCCCCACCTGTGGCGGGGGGTTGGAACTGGATGAGCTTTAAGGTCCCTTCCAACCCGAACCATTCTATGGATCTATGACTTGCACATCCCTGCTGCAGTGACACAGGAGGACAGCAGCAGCACCTCTGTGAAGGTGGAAGCTGCTGACAAACGCTGGGGAAGAAAGCGAGGGCTGGAACACATCCCTGAATCACCTGCCACGACTTGGTCCAACCAGTCTGAACCCCCCCAGGAGCTCACGGACAGCCCCGGCCTGTGCAACCCCAGGGGCAGGGAGCGGGGCGGCAGGGAGAGGAACGCGCTGGGCAGGAGGGACGGCTCTGCCGTGCGGCCCCGGGGATGCGCTCGGGATGGCTGCAAGTCCCGGCTTGTTCCCTGCTCCCGGAGACTGATTCCTGCCTCCCTCCCACGCTCCATGCTCCTGCTGCGACCTCCCTCCTGGCACGGCTCTGTGCAACCGCTCCCTCCGGCACCCGGAGAGCATGGAATGGGTTGGGTCGGAAGGGACCTTAAAGCTCATCCACTTCCAACCCCCTGCCATGGGCAGGAACACCTTCTGCTAGAGCAGGTTGCTCCAAGCTCCTGTGTCCAACCTGGGCTTGAACACCGCCAGGGATGGGGCAGCCACAGCTTCTCTGGGCACCCCGTGCCAGGGCCTCAGCACCCTCACAGGGAAGAATTTAC